ACCGACACCTCTCTGCCGCCGTTCTACATCCTCGTGTACGTCGACGACTTGGTCTTTGCCACAGCTGACACTGCTGGACTCGCCTACGTGAAGTCCGAGCTGCAGAAGAGACACACGTGCACAGACCTGGGTGAACTGCGCAGCTACCTTGGCTTGCAGATCACCCGGGACAGAGCACGCCGCACCATTACCCTGACTCAGTCACACATGGTGCAGCAGGTCCTTCAGCGCTTCGGCTTCACGTACTCCTCGCCTCAGGCCACTCCTCTGTCTACTCGCCACTCGCTCTCAGCTCTGCCTTCGGATGAGTCCGTAGAGTCGAGTGGCCCGTACCCAGAGCTTGTTGGCTGCCTCATGTACCTGATGACCTGCACACGACCTGACCTTGCATACCCTCTTAGCATTCTTGCACGCTATGTTGCTCCTGGGAGACACAGACCAGAGCACATGGCTGCAGCGAAGAGGGTGTTGCGCTACTTGTGCAGTACGTCGGGCATGGGGCTAGTGCTTGGAGGGCGGAGTCCAGTGGTCCTCACTGGGCACGCGGACGCTTCTTGGGCTGACGACCAGGCTACGCAGCGGTCGTCACAGGGTTACACCTTCAGCCTTGGTTCCGGCTCTGTTTCGTGGCGGGCTACTCGCTCGTCTTCTGTTCTTGGCTCGAGTTGTGAGGCTGAGATCTACGCCGGGGCCATGGCTGCACAGGAGCTTCGCTGGCTCACCTACCTGCTGACCGACCTTGGAGAGCCGCCTCGTTCTCCTCCAGTCCTGTACGTAGACAACAAGGCCATGCTGGCCTTGTGTCGAGAGCAGCGACTGGAGCACAGAACAAAGCACATTGCTCTCCGCTACTTCCTTGCTCGTGAGCTACAGCAACGTGGACAGTTGCGGCTTGCGTACGTGGCCTCTGAGGCCAACACTGCTGATGTCTTCACCAAGGCACTTCCGCCTTGTGATCATCAGCGCTTCTGCACTCAGCTGGGTCTTGTGCCCGTCTTGCCTCACTTGCTCTCCTCTTGACCTTGCTTGTACTCTCACATATATATATATACCTGCTCTTGCTTGTCTAGCTTTATATATATATGTGTGTACTCTTGCATGTGAACTGGCCGTGTGGCCTTGACCCTGTGCTCGGACTGTGTGGTGACTTTGTGATCCACCCTGAGCTTGCTTTGCTTTGCTTTGCTTGACTGGTCTTGTGACCCCTTGTTCTCCCCCACTTTGCCTATGGGGGTGTGTCAGAACATTATAGCTTATGCTGTTGTGTAGGCTATAGTGGGGTATCCCATAGGGGGTACAACCAATTAGGGTTTCATATTTGTACTCACTTCATTTTCATAGTTCACCCATTCTCGTTCTCATTCTCACAGTCTGCTCTCTCAGGTACCGCGTCGGCTTAGGTCTTGCACACTTTCAGGGAAGAGACAGTAAAAGGGAACCGACTCATCAAACGTGACGTCCTGAGAGGACAGAACACGGCGCGAGGTGGGGTGGTAAAACTGCCAGCCACGTGCGTTAGGGGGAAAACCAAGGAAGACAGAGGGAACGGCGCGGGCGGAGAGCTTGTCCCCGGAGGTATCGCGAACAAAGGCACGAGATCCCCAGACCCAGAACACTGACGCATCGCCAACCTCTCCCATCCAACGCAGTGTCGGGGAGGTCTCCGGCAAGGAGACACGGGGCCAGAGGTTGAGCTGATGCGCAGCGTACCGGACCGCAAACGGCCACAGAAAATGGGGGGCAGCCGCATGGATCATGGAGGTACGAGCGACCTCCATGACTAGGCCAATGCGGCACTCAGCAACCCCATTCTGCTGCGGAGAGGCCGGAAGCGTGAACGTCTAGAAAATGCCCTCCCCACGACAAAAGTCCCGCAAGAGGTCATAGGAAAACTCACCACCTCTGTCAGAGTGCAGATGCAGGACAGGAAGGTCCGTGTCGAACCTCTCGCGAAACTGGAGACGGACAGCGCGGATCCAAGGGATCATAACATCAGGGACCTCACCCTTGCTGCGCAAGGGGAAGATCGTGGTGTAACGCGAGTAGTCGTCAACAACCAGCAAAAAGTATCGCTCACGGCCCTGTCCCTGGACGCGGGCCGGGCCCCACACGTCCAAGTGGAGAGTCTGCAGGGGAGTAGTCGTCGGGGGAAACGAGGAGGAGTGAGGAGCGGCGCGCTGCCGCCCCTCGACACAGGGAAGGCAGGGAGGGGCAGGCGAGGGTGGGAGGGGAGGCAGAGACCTGGGAAGACCGGAGACAAGAAAGCGAGAGTGCATGCCACGGAGGCGTGGCAGAGAGGGGTGACCAAGGTGGTGGTGCCATGCGACAGGGCGCGACACGAGCTGAAGGCTGCTAGCTGACCTGACACGGACGCAGACGCAGCTACCTGAGGAGGCTTTGTAGTTAGTGTGTACAGGCTCGACCCAGGCCGACGGGTAAACGTGGCTAGGTGACGGCCCGTCCGTGCACACGTGCAGATCGCGACATGCTGTCCCCCAGGAGTAAAGGTATTAACCCATTCATCCTGAAGGACGGCGTTGCTCACCAAGTTCGTAGAGAATGAGGGGAGGTGAAGACCTGACAGTGAGCCAGACGAAACCGCCGGACATGGGAGAACAGTGGAGGAACGTGCAAGAACCGGTCCCCCAGAGGGATCAACCAGAGAGACTGCAACCGGTGCTGCTAGCGGTGTGACTGTGGTGCTGTCGCGAAAGAAGCAACGGGAAGCACCTGAGTCAAGCGTGAAGGTGTGCAAGGCCTTAGCAGGCGCAGTACCAGAGAGAGAGCAGACTCACCAGCACCTAGAGCAGACTCACCAGCACCTAGAGCAGACTCACCAGCACCTAAAGCAGCAGCCTCTATACCAGGGTCGGGCGGCACACACAGGTAATAGTCACCCTAATAGACAAAGCATACATGGCAGTGTGGATAGCGTCATAGTCTAGAGCAAAGATATCCACCTTGCTCCTATGCAGCTCTAGCCAGCGGGGGTGCTCAGTCTCGTCGCCAACACTGCACGCCATGCATCGCTCAGACATGCGAAGCAGCGAGCCAGTGTATGACTAAGTGTCCCGCAAGTCTGACCAGCCCGATCACCTGTGCGAATGACGTACGGACACTGGACAGTACTCCAAGTCCCCCCACTCTGAGCGTACCACTCACGAAGCTGCTTGGGCGCAAGGGTCTCGCGTGGACGCCGCTGCAGCTGCATCTGGCCACCGCCAGAAACTCCGCACTGAACAGCTCCACTACGACTGCTACTACGGCCGCCGCCACCACACCTACTGGCGTACCACTCACGAAGCTGCTGGGGCGTAAGGGTCTCGAGCGGACGCCGCAGCAGCTGCATCTGGCCACCGCCAGAAACTCCGCACCGAACAGCTCCACCGCGACTGCCACGACGGGCGCCGCCACCACTCTAGTTGCTGTCACCACCGCCGTCACCGCTCCGACCGCTACCACGAAGAGAAGTCATAACGGGCCAAGTAAGGAGGCGTGCGACCAGTAGGGCAGTACGGAGGGAAGGCAGTAGCACGAGCAGCAGTAGCAGAAGTAATAGCAGCAGAGCGGCTCGGTGAGGCTAGGCTGCAGCATCTCTAGCACTCCTAGGAGTACCTCCACCACCAGCAGCAGCAGCAGCAGCAGCACGGTAGATCGGGTTGGGAAGGGCGGCTCGGGCTTAGCGGCACGACTCGGCCTGGGCGGTGCGGGCAGCAGGGCGCGACGCGCGGGCTGCAAGAGGGCGCGACGCGCGGGCTGCAGCAGGGCGCGACGGCGGGGCAGCAGGGCGCGGCGCGCGGGCTGCAGGAGGGCGCGGCGCGCGGGCTGCAGCAGGGCGCGACACGCGGGCTGCAGCAGGGCGCGACACGCGGGCTGCAGCAGGGCGCTACGCGCGGGGCAGAAGGGCGCGACGCGCGGGCTGCAGCAGGGCGCGACGTGCGGGGCAGCAGGGCGCGACGCGCTGGCTGCAGCAGGTCGCGACGTGCGGGGCAGACGTAGGGCGCGACGCGCAAGGCAGCAGAGCGTGAGGCGCAAGGCAGCAAGGCACGACGTGCGGGCTGCAGCAGGGCGCGACGCGCAGGACAGCAGGGCGCGACGCGCAGGGCAGCAGGGCGCGAGCTGCAGCAGGACGCGGGGCAGGGCAGGGCGCGCTTGGGGCAGCGCAACGTGGGGCAGGGCAGGGCGTGCGCGGGACAGCGCGGCGCAAGGCAGGGCAGGGCAGGGCGCGCGCTATAGGCGCAGCGCAGGGCAGGGCGTGGGGTAACGCGGTAACCGCAGTCGGTCACTAGGTAATGGTGGGCCCGAAAAAAACGGTCCTACGGACCTACTGCTCTGATACCATGTCAAAAACTAACGAGCAGGATTGATTGCATTGACATCAAATTGAGTACAAGTATAACCCTAATTGGGTTGTACCCCATACAGGCTACCCCCCATACAGCCCCTTGGAATCTCTACCGAAATATCCTAGTTCATGAGAAGTAAGACCATTCAAACATAATATTTTAATACAGTTTGGATATCAATGAGACAATGACACCGTCTTCTTTAACTTACCACAGAGTGCTTGGATGTTTGCTGAATACCCAACTCTAACAAAAAGGCCATCCACCAGTACAACAACAATCCCGCCGTATGCTTCTTCCAAAGTCATTGGTCCCTGAGCCCCGGAGAATGCGAAGCTGTATCGTTTTCGGCGACCGCTCTTGGCACTCGTGATGTTCTTAAATGGGAAAGGAAGTGCGCCTAGCTCAGTGGCAGCACAGGAAGATCCGGTGCCAACGGAAGGGTAACCTCCGGATTTAATGTTGAAGACTTTGACAATGTATACAATGTAGTATGTCGTTGAGGAGGATCTGCCAACAGGACATGGAGAGAGATGATCGCGAAAAAGGGGATGACGTGGGAGGGGAAAGGGTGGGGACACAAACTGCGAAATTGGGTCCCCTATCGTGTGAGAGTGGAAGTTGCACCACTGTTGGCAGAGATCAAAGGCGAACCTCACTGCCTTGATGACAAATTTCCCCGATGCACCTTTGTCGCCGACTAATTTCCCGTTGAGCTTAGTGGGATACAGCTTGGTCACGTATTTCTCTGGTCATGGAAATGGCAGAGATCAAAGGCGCATGGGAAGCAAGGGACGGATAAGACTGTAGGACGTGTACCGTATCCGTTCTCAGAGCACACTACAGCGACTGATTGTTAATAGTACCGCAACAAAAAGCAGCACTGCGTGATCACAGCATTGGCGGCGGCAGTACAGCATGCTGCAGACACTCACGGACGGTCTTCCCCTTTAACCTCAGGGGCCTCGCCAGAGCGGCATACGCGGCGGAACTGCCGCCGTGGCGAGGGAGGAGAGGCGGAAGGGCTGATGCAGGCGCCGCGGCAGTGAGGAGCGCCGCACCTGGCGGACGGGCAGGGCGCGAGCGAGCATCATGCTGAGGAGAGACCGTTTGACATGAAACCGCCAGAACCTAAGGGTTTCTGTGGCAAACAGCAGACACATTTATCACCACGAGAAGGGCATCGTTGATTATTAATCACCACTGTAGTGCTTACAGAGCAGGATGACGAGAGATGCTGCGTGCTGCATGCTGGTGTTAGCAGCACAGTTCTACTGGTGGTAGTAGTGGAAGGCAAAGCAGTGATTTTGAAATGAGGATCTAGTGCTTGTTGCTGCGCGAGTATTAGTGGACAGGAAAGGGCGCGACGCGATGATCTAGCCTGGCGCTCGTGTTGCGGTGCGGGAGGCTGAAACAACATCCAATCCAACGATACCCATCGTTGGAGCGATGGACGATGATGAGCTCTTTTGTAAGTTGTAACATCATGGTATTGGATTGGACTCTAATGAGGAACGGGTACGGTGGGGTCGAGCGACCGAGATCAGTGGCACACCGGTAGACTGTGAAACTTGACTTGATCGTAGGGTGAGGAGTGAGCTATCCGTCTACGGACACGCTCCGGTGCCTCGCATCGCTATACAGTTGGCACATAGCAACCAGTCAAGCCGTCAAGTTCGTTCTTGACAGTTGGAGCTCCAGTGCCGTAAGGGCGCGTGTCTTTTCAAATTCATTGTAAAGTTCATATTTTTTCTCGAATTTTCTCGTTTGAACTCTGATCGACTTGTAGTCGACCATCTCGACTTTTGGAAGGCAATTTCTTCATCACCTTTCGCATCAAGCAAGGGGCACAACAAAGTTCGACTTTAGAAGTTCGACTTTATACAGTAAAACCCGAGTCACGCACAAATTTCGTTGGCTACCTGGTTTGACAGCGTAGTTCGTGATCGAGTCCAAATTCAGTAACGTGGTACGTTGTCAGCTGTTACTGTCGCGGAAATCGTAAATTCACTGTGCACGAGAGGAAGAACACACGTTTGGATAAACGGGCACGTGAAAATTCGACCCCAGTTCATGGACCTTCGGTTTCATCAATCATTGAACTTGGACACACGAATATCGTAAAGTGCTCAATACGAAATGCTGCTTGAAAGCCCCCCGCACATACTCGATACACGGGCCGCGCCACATGACTGGCTCTCGCACGAGCAGTTTTTGAAGTTTGACACACCTCACATCATCACGGCGCATCTGGCACTGCTTGCACGTGACGGCAGGAAGCGCTACAACACTTGGTACCTGGACAGCTGCTGTAGCCAGCATATGGTGGGCTCCGAGCGTTTCGTTTCCAACACCGTCCCCACTCCCTCGGTCACCTACGTCACCGTGGCAAACAACACGCGCCTGTGCGCAAGCGCGCAAGGCATCGTCGTGCTCAAAGCACGGGGAATCCGCACACACTTCACACCCAATGATGTGCTTATCGTCCAAAACATGCGCTTCAACCTGCTATCTGTCGCTCAACTCATGGATTGCGGCGTTGACCTTAGCACGGATCGCGAGACACGCGACATCCTGCTGCACTACGAATCGCCGACCATCCCTCGCAAGCAGATCGGGAGAGCGCACTCTGAAAATGGAGTATACATCCTCGATTTCGACATTCCCGACTGCAGCGGCGACTCGCAGGAGCTCATCGAGCTCTTTCACGTGCGCTTCGAGCATATTCACCACCGCGACTGGAAGCACCCAGACGGAAGACCGTGGGTGCCACATCACCCACATCCGCATGGGCTGGCGCTGCACGACCCTGATTCCGACGGCATCTGCAGGGATTGCCATACATCCACAGTACCAACAAGCGCGATTGCAGGCCGTGGGCCTCGCCGCCATCGTCGAAGCAGAGCGGAAAGCACCGCCTCAAGAAGAACTATCTCATATGGAGTTGAAGACTGCCACGCGGGTTGTCTTCGGAACACCGGAACACCCCCTCCCCGGACCCGCATCACAACATCTTTGGGGCATGCTGCGCAGCGTTGGCGTCGGCACCTTCGACGCAGATGGATTCCCGTGACCCTACACAAAGACAAAGTTCATGGAGATCTACCCCCACTGGCGCGACCCTACGGCGAAACTCACCGTCGCGGAAGAAGAAGAATTGGCGCGTTGCGAGGCAGAAGAGCTTCGGCAACAGAGTCTTGCGGAATCATGCGGAACATTCGCCTGGAGCGAATGGGGCAAAGAAGAGAGCGCCTCCAATGAAGGGGAGTGGGGAAGCGCCGGCGAATGGGGCACGAGCAACACTGGTGGATGGGGAGCAGCAATTGGCGGAAACACTGGCGGATGGGGCGCCGCATCTGGCGGCGAGACAAGCGGTTGGGGCACTTCCGGCGAGGGTTGGGGAGCTTCCCGCGAGGACCAAAGGGGGGAAGAAGACGAAGCAGAACCTGCTATTGTTCCTCTTGGTCGCCCTCTGCGCCGCTCCGCACCTACGCTTCCTCCACCTAACATCCAGCCAGAACGCGACCTTTGGGACACTATCGACTGGGGCAATGAGCCCTCTACTCTGCGACGTACTGTCTATGGGCCTGCTCCCAAACCGCGCGAACCAACATTTGTCCCTGGAACTATCCTCGGGACCAACATCCCCTAGTCCATCATACGCGACAGAGAGTTCCTTGCGTTGATGATGACCACGGTGAACGAGGAAGAGGAAGAAGAAGAGGCAGCAACGGAACCTGCCCCAGTACCTGACGAAGACTCCGAAGCAGCACGCGCGCGCTACATGCGCACCTCAGGATTCCGCACAGACGATGTGCTCTGGCATCAGCGCCTCGGTCACCCCTCGCGCGTGACGCTGAAAAACGGCATCGAAGTTGGCGTATTCGGACCTGGCGCACTCCTACGCCCTGATGGCACCGAAGTGAGAGGCACAACACATCCGCGCAACTGCAGTCTGCCCCGAGGCCGCACTGAGCCACCAGCCGTTTCCCCTGCTCGAGCCCGAAACCAACCGCTACGCTAAACTAAAGAAGGTTTACAGCGACTTCCTCAACGTAGGACACTGCGGGATCGACAAGGAGCTGTATACACTCGCCTTCGTCGACGCTGGGACGCGCTACGTGTGGGTCGTGAACGTGGAGGCGCGCAGCAGAGCGTACCTAGTTTTCCGCCTGTGGCTAGCACACGCGCAGCGGCAATCTGGGGAGAAGCTGAAGATCTGGCAATCCAACGGCGCAACAGAATTTAAAAGCAAGGAGCTATAGGATTACCTGGCGCAAAAGGGGATTGAGCATCACATCTCCCTCCCCTACATGCATCAGCAGCAAGGTGTAGCCGAGTGCACGAATCGCACGCTCATGACGAAGGTACGGGCACTAATGAAGCAATTGAAGCTTCCGCCAATCTACTCGACCTACACAATGCACCATGCCGTGCGGGTGCACAACCTGCTATCCACAACCGCCATCACCGGCAACTTATCGCCACACGTGAAGTGGACTGGGACCAAGGGGGACACATCCATGCTCCGCGTGTGGGGTTGCATGGTGCAGTACCGCCCGCCAACGTCAACTATCGGGAAGTTCGCAAGCCGCGCGCGCTGGGGGATTCATCTCGGCATCAGCCACGAGCACAAGGCATGGATCATCTTGGATCTACTCAGCGAGAAAATAACCCACGCACGCGACGTCATCTTCTACGAGCACCTCTTCCTCTAGCAATTTCGCGAAGATGAGCAAACGAATGCGAACCGCGTCTATGCCAACGACGGGCACAGCTACGCCACGCCTGAGGACGAAGCTCCGACAGCCATTCTAGAGCAAGACACCAGAGGCGAGTTCACAAGAGGCGATCGCCGTAGCAGCGAAGACGACGACGACTATTCCCTCGAAGGAGGAGCAGGCGCAGCAAGCGCAAGCGGCAGAGGCGCAGCACCGCCAGCACCACCTGAACCAGAAAGCGACGACGACATAGTACAGGAAGCACCGCCACGATAGCACCGTAACCGGACTACAGCTTCTCGGACTCCACACCGCCACCTCAACGGTGCCACGTGTCGTCGAACCCAAGAATCCGCGCCAAGCCCTTTCGGGACCACACAGCAAGGAGTGGCATGAGGGGATGGATGCGGAAATTAAAGCACTCGAATCCTGCGACACCTGGGTGCTCGTCGATTGAGCAGCAGTCAAAGGAAGGAAGATTCTCTCTGGCAAATGGGTCTTCCGTGTGAAAACTGCATCTGATGGCACAATCGAGTGATTCAAGGCGCGTTGGGTGGTGCGCGGCTAAGACCAGAGGCACGGGATTGACTTCGACCAGACGTTTGCACCAGTCAGCCATCACACCTCCGTCAGAATTCTGCTCGCCATCGCAGCCGCAAGGCATCTGCCTATACGCCAAATCGATTAAAAAAACGTGTTCCTGTACACGTTTAGTAGATGCCGTGATCTACGTGGAGCAGCCGCACACGTATGGTGAAGGGGATTCGTGTGTTTGCCAGCTGCGAAAATCACTTTACGGAATCAAACAGGCACCGAGACTCAGGCATCAGTACCTACACAACATCTTGCTTGAAATCGGGTTCAAGCAGCTGCCTCACAACCCAGGGATATACCGCCGTGATTTCCGCGGTGAATACATCCTACTCACGGTCTACGTTGACGACCTTCTTTACACAAGGTCAAGCAATGAACTGCTCGAGCAGTTCGAGAGGAGTCTGGCGGGGCGCGTCGACATTACCTGCAACTACGAGGTGAAGCAGTTCTTAGGACTTAATATCTCCTACTCTTTAGAAGCTATCCACCTCTCAGCGGCTAAGTACGCAGACGAGCGTGGGAAACACTTCAACATGATGCCTGCACCGCTCTCCACTGCTTACCGCACTCCCGGACCGAACCACAAACCTGACAACAAAGCCCTATCCCCCGTTGGTATCCAGACCTATCAGCAGCAGCTGGGATGCCTGCTCTTCGCCTCTTTCACCTGCAGGCCCGACCTTTCCTACATCGCGAGCCAGGCTTAGTACTCTCGCAAACCAATGGCTAAGAACCTTCTGGATCTG